GCCCTGTCGCCTGCATGTCACACGCAGCGCCTACACTCTACGACAAGTCTAACTTTGCCCATGACATCCCTCCTTATGATAGCTTTGACCACCATGGTGTCTATTTTGCGACCACGCTTTAAATATATTTCAAGGGCAACGCCAAAACGGACGTCAAAATGATTTTGATATATGAAATCAGGAGTCATTGTGAGGTTGAATGCCTTGATACCAAAACCCAAGAGTTTCACCGATGTAAGGCAGACCAGATGAAACTTGTGTGCTTGAGACCCCAGTCCCAGGAACTCATTTTCAAGGTTCCCACGACGCTTTTTAAAAAAAATGAAGAAAAACTTACAAGTTCGGGACTCTGACTGCGTTGGATCCAACAAGACAGCAGATTCAAAACAGTCTTCTTCACGGATCGCATACTGCGGATGAGCGGCTGTTTTGTCACCTGGTCTCCGTGACTAAGAACAGCAGTATTTATGTTGTCCGATAGAAGTTTGTAAACGTTCAACATATCCAGGTATATCCGACAGAGCTAAGGAGGTAAAGACCATACTATTAGACAGATAAATAAGCGTCTACTAGGTAATAAAAAGTAGATAGTTTGGTGTAGTTACGAACCTGAATAAGATACGGGTGCCCCAAAGCTTTGCAAGAGCTTAGGTTGGTCTTCAGAATATTGCACAATTGTTTTACAGTCTCTGTGTCCTTGAGGACGTTGGCATCAGCTGCTACACGACAGAGAATGTCATCCCAAATCTCGTTTGGTAACCTAAAAAGACCCTCAATCCGCTCGTTCTGTTCGGTGGTGTCTAGGTCGGCGCTGAGGATTGTGGACACCGCCTCGTAAAACGTATGAACCTGCTGCGGCTGAAGATCGGAGATGATGGAGTCGATCTCACGAATGATCTCGTCCACGAAACCGCAAGTGGCCCCATACTAAGAAAAAACAAGGAGAATTTCAACAAGACGCTATAAAGAGACAAAGTGGCTCTAAAGAGTTAAGGTTTCACGCTGGCAGGCAGACAACACAGTCATCCCATGATTTGTCTAAGGCCTTTTTGAAGTGTTAACTGTTTTCAGTGTAGCTACCCTGCCCACGGGATGTGGGTAATGCGCCGGGTAAATGAAACATCTAGACTCGAATAAAAGGTGGTCTGTTCTCCCTCTGATTCGTTGCAATTTGAGCCGGTTTGATCGACTCGAGTCATTTACATATCGAGCGCACACGTGCACAACCATGAAATCAAAGGTCACTCACTTGTACAACCAGGAGTTGACGTCTGCATTTCTGTGCCACCTTGATGAAGGTGTCGCAGGCCATGTCTTGCACACCCTCGTGCGTCTCGTGCATGAATTCAAAGAGTTTGGTGATTACTGTCTTCAGGAAACGCCAGTGGGCTCGCAGAAATCGGGGATACTGGCCGACCACGTACATTATGTTACTTGCCACTATCGCCTTGTTGTCTTTGCCACGCTTGTGTTCACACAGCCCCAACAGGTCGCGAATCACAACAACGAGAAAGGAGCGTTCAGCGTCCTCCTGCATTGCACCCGAGATGCTGCCAATGGCCCAGCACAGGGAATTTAGGTTTGCCCACGACCATTCACTGCCGTCCACTTGCCTCTGAAGTTTCTCCAGCATAATCTTCTCAGTGTCCTGCGCGTGGAAGGAGTGTGAAAAAGTGCCGATGATTTAGTTTTTGGTCAATAAAGCCGCGGGAGAACCTGTTTGTAGGGTGCATAACTTGCTGGCAATGTAAACTGGAGTCAGAGGATTCATAAAGGTGACAAAATACCAATTGAAAGTAAAAGGTCAACAACGTCACCTGTCTGTAATATCAGCTTGAGGCACCGATGCACATGAATTCGACTCCATGAGA